TGGATCGGATGAATGGTTCTGGAGAAAAAGGACAGTCATATATACGGACACTGATTCCTTCCTTCATAGTTAGATGATGCTGCTACGGCATCACCTAACAGCCAAATTGCACCAGATTCGACACTTTACTTTCTTGAGACCTGAGCAGTACACCTGCCAGACAGAGAGTCCTTCTTTTAGAGTTTAATTAGATCACAAAAAGGGTCGTCCCACCAACAGATTTCATACTGAATCAAAACTTTATTTAATTCTTAAGGGATACCTTCTCTATCATTGACCTAACTGCCCAAAGTAAGTGACGAAATATATATACATATTATATTCAGTGCATAACAATAACAATACTGAACTGAAACTGTAAATAACTGCAGGAGGTTTGTGTAAAACAAGCGATTATTTCCTGTGAATATTAATCAGAGATGAGTTTCATGATATTTTTTATTGAATTCTCTGTCTGTATTATATTTTTATTTATTTAACAATCATACAGACTTAATAGGCTTCCTTTTTGACAAATTCAGCACTTTCTTCTTCCTGGTCTATTAACTCTTTGGGTGTTATAACTGTGTACTTTTTTAATGCAGGACAATGAGATATAGGCCTACTGTGTTGATGTTTTTACACCAAATCAAGATGACCTTGTGACCCCCTGTGAACATAAAATTGTTAAAAGCCCAATAAACATGCAAAATATTTTAAAGATCCCTTTTAGTAAAGGGGAAGGAGAATGATTAATTAAAAAGGGAATAATGAGATCTTATAGGATAGAGAGGAGGGAGGAAGTCATTTTAACTGGATTAAGATTTGATCACATGGGTCTAAACAAAACTCTTTCTGTAATCTGTAAAAATAGTTCAGAAGAATGCTCACGTTGCAAACAATAGAAAATGTACAACACACACTTGATGAACTGAAATAAATATAAAGAAGAGAGGGAACGGCTCATACAGAGGATCAGGAAGGTAGAGAGCGGAGACTGGGGACAGCTGGAGATAAAGGATGCACAGAAAGCCATAACAGAATTTACAGGATACAAGTTTATATGTCAGGATGTAGTGAAGTCAGGATAGTTGGGTGTGGTGGGTTTCTATCTTTATATATTTGTTAATTTCTATTTTATATTTGCATATTTGATAACAATGTAAAACCCATCTCCACATACCTCGGTATAGTAGGTGGCTATGGAAGACCATGAAATAATTATTTAAATAGTGAAATAATTATATATGTTTTTTAACATAAAATGAATCAGTATTTTAATGAATTAATGACACATTTAATAACATATTTATCAGAATCAGAATCAGAAATACTTTAATAGTCCAAGGGGGAAATTACTTTTGTTACATACTCCAGAACATATAATATATTAAGAATATATATAAATGTATGTATATATATATATATATATATATATTAAGGTTAAAATGTACAGTTTAAAATGTGCAAAAAGTGCAAAAATGATTGTCCGTGTTTGAGGTCAGATTACAGAGAGGGGGTGTCTGACTCTCTGAGGGAGGCGTTGTAGAGTTTGATGACCACAGGCAGAAATAATTTCCTGTGGCGCTCTGTGGTTCATGTGGCATGTGGTGTAAATCCATATAAATCAGTCTACAGGCAGTCAAGAAAGTTTGGGAAAGTACATTTTTTTAAGTTATGTTACAACTAGTTACTATTTGGCAATAAAACGTTATTAATAGATTAAAAAAATGAGTAAGGTAAAATGATTCAGAAGAAGCGTGACACCACACAATCCTCCCTCATTTCTGTCCACCAACTCTCTGTTTTAGATAGATAGATAACTTTATTAATCCCACAATGGGGAAATTCACTTGACATAAAAAGCTACAGACATAAAAAAAATGTGTCTTTGTAGTCTTGACCCAATGAAATCTCTGATGTCTCTGATGTGAAACTAACACCTCTCTATTGGCTTTGCAGCAGGTCCAGGTCGAGTGGTGGTCTACTCCCTCACCGAATCTGCAGGAGGTTCCTTCTCCATCGATAAGTCTTCAGGCATTGTCGTCTTAGAACGCATTCTCGACCGTGAGATCCAGCCGGCTTATCAGATAACAGTCCATGCATCTGACTTGGGCTCACCACTGCCGCTCTCCTCATTGGTCAATGTCACGATCACTGTGCTGGACATCAACGACAACCCACCTGTGTTTGAGCGCCGTGATCAGCTGGCAACAGTGCCAGAGGATGTAAGAGTGGGAACAGAGGTTCTGAGAGTTTATGCTGCCAGCAAGGACATTGGGACCAATGCTGAGATCACTTACAGTATCCGATCAGGCAACGAGCACGGAAAGTTCCACATCCACCCACTGACTGGTTAGTGTGCTAACCACATTTCTACACTATGCCTCATTCACATAGGCCGCCTGAGTGGCGTTCACACGACAGCGTGTCAGTTTCATGGCTGCTGCCCTGTGTTTCTTCATACACTTTTCCCTTATATAATGTCAATGAAAAAGTAAATCCATTTTTTATATAATTCAATTTACAATGCCTTAGTTTAAATGTAAATGTGACGTGTTAACCAGAGAGCAGTCATATGTAGTTACTGCCCTTCAGCCAGCTCACTACCAAAAATTCTTTCACAAGTGAAGTTGTG